GGTGCCATAAAGTGGACTTAACCCCATCACAAACCGCAAGTTGCCTTGCCTCAGCTGAGGCTCTCCATTTCTAACTCATATATGCTCTGCTAATCTGCATATTAGTCGAATTGTTGTACATGCACCGTGGTACTCATTTCTGTGACTCCTTAAAGGCACAGTGCCATACTATTGAATAGACTGTTTAGATTCCACTGAATGCTGTTGTGAGATCCTGAAAGCGCAGTGTATACATACCTGGTATACACTAGAATTATATCATAGCCATATCAGTTGTAATCACAGTGCTACCACTAGGACTCTTGTCCTACATAGGTTGGCCGCATACCTCGGACAGTACTTGCACTTTACCTTACCTTGTACTTAGAGTTGCTCATAACTCCTAAACCACATCCACTACTACATTGATTACCTTGTTGTTGGCATATGATGTTTGAGAGGGTTCCACCATCACTCCTAAACATATAGAGTGCAACAGTGAACCCTTGACCTGAGCCCACACAAGCGAGAGACTCGCTAGTTCCGCAGCTGAGGTCCAGCATATCCACCTGGGGCTTGACCGTTACAGAAGCTGATTGGTTACCATGGGCAACTGCTCCAGATTTGGTCTGCTCCAGTTTTGATAAATCCTCCCTGTGTGTGTATATATATATATAACCAGTAGTGTTCTTCTTTTTTCCTTGCTCCAGGTCACAAGAAATGTTTGGATCCTCCCTACTGTTTCCCAGCCGGGTTCAGCCTCTCCCTGTTGGTAGACCCCTCGGAGGGTAGTAAATCTCCCATGTGAGCGGGTGGCCGTGGTGCTGGGCCAGGTTCGTATGGATTAAAGATCCTAAGGGATCTACTGGTGCAGGATTACTGAAAAAACACCCGAACCCCAAGAGGCTCCATCTAGCAGCATGGTTGCTGAATCCTCAAGGTGGAGGAGCCAGGGATTGTCGGCAATGGTGATAGAGACCTTGATGCGGTCCAGGGGTCCATCAACGAACTCCACTTATTCCAGAATTTGGAACACATTTCTGGAGTTTGCGGAACAATGGTGAACAATTTTTCACCATTGCGGGCAGAACTACCTAATGTTCTAGGATTTTTACAGTCGGCCCTGGATGCGGGCCTAGCCTATAACTCTTTGACGGTACAGATTTCAGCCTTGTCGGCATTCATGGGTATCAAATGGGCAGATGATCCTCTCTTGCGGAGATTCATGAGAGCGGCCCTGAAGTTGCGGCCTCCTAGGAAAGCTCTGTTCCCATCCTGGGACCTGGACTTAGTTTTGACTGCCTTAGCGGCTCCACCATATCATCCTCTGTCGCTGTGCACCCTATGGTACCTTACACAGAAGTTACTTTTTCTCATTGCCATCACATCAGTAAAAAGAGTCTCCGAATTGGCGGCTCTTTCATGTAGTAGGAGCCGTTTTGTGTGTTATTGGCTGATAAAGTTGTGTTACATCCTTTACCAGAGTTCAGGCCGAAAGTTGTTTCCTCATTTCATTCAGACTGGGAAATAATTCTCCCAGGGTGCAGGAGTCTGGCCCAATCTTCAAGTTCGGATTGATTACCAGCTCTGGACTTGGTCGAACTCATGTGTATCTTCATCGAACAGAAGTTTTTCGCAGATCTGATCGACTGTTCATCTTTCCGAAAGGATCAAAAAGAGGGTTTAACACACCTCCTAAGGTGTTGTCTATGTGGATTCAGTCTGTCATCAAAGCAGCATATGTGCAGCAGGGTCTTACTCCTCCGGCGGAAGTGCAAGGCCACTCGACGAGGGGAGTCGCGACGTCCTGGACGTCATATGCCAGGGTCTCAATGGAGGGCATATGCAAGACGGCGAGGTGGAGCTCGCAGAGCACTTTTGTTAGGCATTACAAATTGGCTGTGGCTGCCGCCAGATTGGTCAGATTTGGAACGGCAGTCCTTTCTTCTGCTTTGTCACAATAAATATTTTCTATTTTTGCAGTATTTGGTTTCTGAAGGTGTTTTCCTTCTTATGGTTGTTGTCCTGCTCTTGGGGATTATGCTTGTTATATCCCGTACTGTGCTGACATGAGGTGAGCCAGGAGTACGGAAAATTGTTATCATACTTACCGTCATTTTCCTTTCCTGGCTCATCCTCATGTTGGCATGCATTCCCTTCCCTGGTGGACCTGTTGCTCGGCGTGTTATTGAACAGGTACTGGGGGAGGGGATCGCCCTTTTATTGACTTGTTAAGGTGGTCCTGTGGGGTCAGAGGGGGAGGAGCAGAACCGTACTGTGCCGACATGAGGATGAGCCAGGAAAGGAAAATTACGGTAAGTATGATAACAATTTTCCGTAATATAAGCCATGTGCTGTGCAGGTGAGAAATACTGCAGGCTGATCTTGTACTGGATTCATCCAGACCAAAAAGAAAGGGACATTAGGCAAGTGCTACTGCATTGTGTAGTTCACTTTCTATTATATTGTGATCACTCCTGTATGAAAATCCTGAGATCCCTGTCAGAGGTATCTCTGGTTCAGTGTTATTGACCTATTTGCATACTGCAAGATGGTTGTGATTTTTCAGGTGTATGAGAGTGAAGTTCATCTGACTTGTTCTTATCAGGTGAACCTTCTGTTGCTGAAGTGCACACCTGCAGTTTATTTAAATGAACAGTGCCCCTTTTTGGTCTGGGATTCCTTAGCTAATGTTAGCTGATGGAAACAGTAAACAGTAAAGCGGTAGGCTAGGCATCTGATGGCCACTTAGACAGTTAGAGGCACGGTTGCATTGATAGCCTAGAATTAGGACAGGGGCCAAGAGATAGGATAGATAGGTCTGCTTTGAATAAGTGACGCATTTCAGATTTCCTCATCAAGCAGTATATTTATCTGCTGCCACTCCAGCCTTGCGTCTTCTCAAGCGGGATTGGACTCTGCCTTAAACATAATCTCACCAGGTGCCCCTGCAACTGGACTTTGCTGCAAACCATAATTGGAGGAATCCGTGCTAAGTGACTGTATATATATGCCCGGGTATAGGTGCACCATTCTATGTCATGGTAAATGCTCATTACTGATTTCCCTGACATAGAATGAACCTGAAAATGCTCAGCTCTGGGCACTTGTGGCTTTACATTTTTAGAGTCATCATGTCAGTGGCTGAGAGAGCTGCAGACTGCAGACCTGGTTCTGTATAGGCTGATAAGTTTAATGAGAGTATCAAACCAACATCTAAAAGTCCAAACTTTTTTCAGATAATTCCATGGTTTTCTATTTGGAACAGTTTAAAAAAGGGCAGGTATTTCCCGGGTTGACATGTGCAGCAAAACTGTGTGGATGCAGGCAGAGCAGGCACCAGAGATCTAATAGACCCCTGTCTCCATACCTGTCACTGCCTATGTATTATCACATAGGGGGCACGTTAGCCCCCTTAAAATAGTAATTATAACAACAAATTTAAAAAGTAAATATGACTGTTCAGTCAAGTGGGCAACTAGTGCATTCAGTAATCAGCACCTAGTGTTCTCAGTAATTAGAATTGGTCTGACACAACCCTTTTCTTGCTCTGCTGCACAGTATGTCCACTCCAGTTCTATACAGAAGTCTTTATTGTCAAGCTGTTTTGTTAGTAAAACACATTGTACAGAAAAAGTGTTTCTTCTGCTATCAGTTTTCACAACATTAATCAAAGAAATGCTACATTTTGGGTTATCTTATCTAATCCTTTGTCAAATCACAGCTCTGATTTGTAATCTGAGTAATCAGTTTTGGGTAGAAATACATTTGAATTGCTCCTATATTTATTTACTATTTCTATATTTTCTTTTAAAAACGTTGATCATTTGTCATATAATAACATGAAATACCCACAATATGATATGAAGACGTTATTCAAATAATTCTACAATGTAATAGGAAACCATTTAAAGCACACCTGCATTTTATTCCAAGTTTAGTGAACCACCTCTGGGGAGTTACAGTAGGCGGCAGCAGGTTGAAATATTTTCAGTTATTTTCCAGAACGCCCAGGAGCCCTGAGACCCTCTAGTATTGTATGACACAACTACCAATTAGGAAATCAGTGCTTTGGGAACACCCACCTTATATATGGTTAGTGAGGCTGCCTATCACATTAACTGACCAAAAGCGCAGAATGAGTGCAAAAAGCAAGAGGGCACTCCAAAACAATGTCTTCCTACTTGATGTTGAGAAAACACCCTTGGTGTTCAGGGGTCTAGTGCCACTCTAGAAGATATCTGAAGGTACTTAGAAGCACTTGGAGATGCATAGAAAGACTGTACCCACCCTCGTACTTGCATGCACAGTGGTTAGGTAACAGAAATTACAGCTATTGTCTGCTAGACCTAAAGTTGCTACGGTTTGGACCAACAGATGGGGAGTGCCGGAGTTTGGTGAAACCAATGTGATTAAGTCATAACAAACATAAATAAACAAAGCCAAGTTTTTATTAGCATTATGGCATCCAAAACTTGTTTGTCCATTTGGGGTCCTAATTTAATAAAAGTGCATATGTTTTTCTACAATTTGTCTCTTTTTAAATACATTAAAATGATGGCACTAGTGCAACGAAGAATTTTTCTATCTATTTTGTGTATTTTTTTGTGGTTAATGTGATACAAAAACAACAAATTACACATATTTAAAACAAATAAGCAAAAAAAAGGGGCTTATATAACATTTACTTTTTTTAACTGAATGAAAAGGATGATGAAAGGACAATTCTATGATTTGCACATAAGCACTAAAAATGTCTGTATGAATGAAGTCCCCAACTTCTGTATGGAAGCTTCATTCATACCAGACCTGCTGTCCCAGAGGTGAAGTATTAGGTATGGAATCTGTTCTGGTACACTTTAACTTAGCCAGCAACAACCTGGGAAGACAGATTATAAAGTGAATTCCACTTAGAAGATTTAGCATTAAGATTTGATATTGCTGAAAGATTAGATGCTACATATATCTAATCTAATACTACATAGTGACATTTCTACCAGAAAAGAAAAATATCTTCTTACCTTGAACAGCCTGTAAGCTCCGAGTCTGTATGACAATGCAAAGCTGCAGGACAAGCTGCGGAGCGCTCTCCAGAAATGTGGCAAGCAAATGCAGCATACTCACATCTGCATACTCGTACACCATCTTCCAGTAGAACCTCCATCTGTCATTCTCTCCGCTTCTCCTGCTGCGGATCCCTAAGTATATAGTATTGAAATACCTAAAATGAAAGAAACATATGTACTGTTAACAACATACACAGCAATAACCCTCTTGAGATCTTGTTAAACTCACAATAGAAAAAAACAGAAAAAAAAGTTTTTGGCTGACAGATCAATGTATCTTTCAGTTCTTTTGAAAAGAAGACAGACTCGCAAGTAAAATGGCTAAAAAGACTCACAAACTTAAATTTAGAAAAAAAACCTATTTAAAATGATGGTTTATGATGGTGATATGTTTTGCTAAAATGCACTTCTGGCTAAATAGTTTTGACAATTAATTTCCCACTCAGTACAAAGGTGGCAGCAGAACATGTATAAATACTGCATATGTTAAATATAAAATGAATGATAATTAATGTTGTTGATTTGCTAGACTTATCTATCCTGTGCTGCATATGCAAATACATGCCAGCAGTGCTTAGTAATACCTTAGTAATAATTTGTATGTGGCTGCTAATGGGTTATCTACAAATCTCGATATCTAATACAATAGCAAAGATATGGATGAGCAACCATGTAAGAAAGCCTCATCAAAAATTGCATTACGGTAAATACTGCAATAATGACATGACATATGTGCACAAAAAAAAGAAGCAATTCTTTAATTTTAATTGATGTCTCCTTTTAGCAACAGGGACTGATGTGCATGGTTCTGTGTATTCTGAAAAGTGTAAAGTGAAATGTGTCTGCACTCTATGTAAGCTCTCGTATGTAAATACTAGAAATGAACAAATATATTGACTAAAGATGGAGAAAAAATCCAGTACCCTGACATTTTGCTGCTGCAAGGTTCCTGGCACTAACTGTATTCTTTATAAAGACCACTTTTAGGAAAACTATCTTATGCTGGCATGGAGACTACCGTTCAGACAATTCTAATGCCTCTGGGTGTCCTCAAGTGATGTGTATGTAGAATGTTGCTCACACTACAGATTCAGTGCAACTGGCAGTCAGATTTCAAAACTCAAATCATCGGTCAAATATTGTAATCATAAAGAAAGTAAGAGAGAACCACATAATCATGCAAAAAAAAACATGCTTAAAGTGTAACTAAAGGCAAAAAATTATTTTTAGGTTTGGATAGAGTGGTGAGGGGTTAGAATTCTGTCAGTTTTTGTTGCTGTCTATGTCCTTGTTAGGGTGATGCTCTCTCTAATTGTCCTGATCAGCAATGCCATCAGAAAATAAAGTAAGAATACATTGAAAATTTTGAGTTGCCAGAACAGTAATAGCAGAGAAATCTTTCATTGGGGACACTTGTTCCTGTTACAACTGTCTAAGAGGGGATTTCTCTCACATTTGATGAATTTGCTTTTACTTCCTGTTGAGTCTACCGGACCAGAAGTGAAGGAAAGTCTCCTTAGTGAGACACAGATAAAAAAAACAAGACAAGCTGACATTGGTTTTAAACTTCCCCTTTTCTATCAAAGATGGAAAAAGTTTTGGCTTTAAATATACTTTCAAATATTTTTTTTTTAATAGCTTTTTTAATTTAAAACTGAGGGGGGTCATTCACTAAAGAGCCAAAGGATCCAGCCGTAGCTTCGGCTGATCCTTCGGCTCTCTTCGGGCCCGCCAAAGCCATTTTCAGACCCAGTTCAGTTGAACCGAAGGGCTGCTGTGCGGGTTATTCACTATAGCCCGCACAGCAGCCGAAGGCAGCCGAGTGGCTCAGCCAAGCCAAAGGCATATGCTCCGGCTTGACTGAGCCGAAGTGACAGCTGAAGCGGGGAGAACGGCCTGCCAAAGGCCGGCCGTACGCCCCACAAATCACAGCTGGGCGGAGCCAGCCATGATCTCACGGCTCACTCCGCCCAGTTATTATTCATTGGCCATCACCTGCTAGAAGACTCTGGCAGGTGCTGACCAATAGAAAACAGTTGGGTGGAGCTAGCTGTCACTGTTAGCTCCATCCCATTATTTTTTTTCTATTATTTTTTGAAATATCTTTATTTATTTTTTAATTTTACTATTTCTTTACATTTTTAAAAATATTTTTTCAACCTTTTTTTTTTCTTCACTCTTTTCACTGATTTTCTATTCTGCTCGGTACCACGGAGGTACCAAGCAGAATAGCCGAGCCAAATTTCGCGGCATTCAGCTATTCACTCACTGCCATTCGGCCCCTATGAGAATAGGGGCCAACGGCAGTGAGTGAGCTGCCGGAGCTTCGGTTCAGCTGATCCAGATGTTGGATCGGCTGAGTCGAAGTCCCTCTGTACTGCAGCTCAACCGAACATGCAGAGCATGTTTGGCTGACCGAAGGCAGCTGTACAGAGCCGATGTACAGCTGATTTCAGCCAATGTACGGCTGAAATCAGTCGTACTGAGCCGGAGTGAATAGTCGAACCTCGTTCGGCTCTGTTCACTTCGGCTCGGTTATTCAGTCGGCTGCCTTCGGCAACTTTGTGAATAACCCTATGAGTATTGTGTTATAGTTTTTACATAACCTGGGGTTATGCTTTACAGTACTAGAACAAAACAAATGTTGATGCTTTTTATATTAAATAGTTTGATCATAATTGGGTGTCAATATGTAAACGTGCTTCCCATCCACTGTTCCTATTTACTACAGCAGTGAGTTAAAAATGCTCTATTGATACTGTATGTGTGCGAAAGGCTTTGACAGATTGAGCACTCCACTTCTGTAAACTGTTTCACTGACTCTTGATTGCCTCTGAATTGGGAGTTCCAAGGAGGTACTCCCTTTATCTTCGACACATAGGACAGAAGAAAGGAACAGTGGAAAAAAAAGAACTTCCCTTTTAAGAAAAGATGATGAAATACATAGTTAACCTTAACTTCACCAGAAAAATCTCTGTGTGCCAACATGATTAGTATAATCTGATGCTCAGTTTATATCTGGGGTCAGGAATAAAACATATGCTGTATCTGTTGTAGTAGGGACTGCAATCTGGGATCTCCCTCTGCGAGATTATCCTGAATATAAATTAGACATCTGGAGTATGAAGTCCTGTGGGTCTTACTGAATTTCTTATCTCACTGGCAATGCTGCTTCAAACTCATTTCCAACTGAGACTAGAATAGCTTATCAGCTCATTTTGAAATATGTTTGATGATCACAGCGCAATAGATTTTAGCAACCACCAATATTTTCTTGATTGTACTAAACCATCGTCCATATTGTTAGTGCTAAGTCTCACAACTGTAATTTCCTAAAAGCCAAAGCTCATCGGAATCCTGCACAAAGACAGATCAAAACAGCTTGCCATACCGAAGGTAAACAGTGCGGGACAGGGACTATTATGCAACCCTGCACATAAAGTCCACATTTCATAACAAGGAAACATTTGAATGCTGTGGCAGCACAGCTTTGCTGAACGTTGCCATTTTACTGAAGCAGGGATGGTTTAGGCCAAGTAGCCAATGAGAATAATAAAATGGCTCACAGATGTACTTGGTTTAAACCTTAAAAGAGAACTGTGGGATAACCTTTTTATCCCATAGTTCTCTTAAGGGTCACAGGAGGACATATACTAGGGTCCTCCCGTGACCCAAAGCCCAGTATATAGCGAGCTATAGCTCACTATATACTAAGAGTGCCGCAGCCGGGACGGATCCCGACAATGCTGTCGAGATCCACCCTGCTGCGTGAGTGACAGCGGGCTCTGCCTATATAGAGGCAGAGCCAGCTGTGCCCACCCCCTCCCCTGTCCACTGACAGTCACAGCTCTCTGCAGCGAAATGATCGGAAAGTGAGCGAGCGACGGTATGCGTTAGCTTACTTCCTGATCAATAGAGCCAACCTGTGACAGTTTTATTGTTGACTCGAACTATGAGGTTGAGTGAAAATCTCACCTCATAGTTCTCCTTTAATGGATCTGCAGCTCACCAATGGTAACCAGTATCCAATTTCTTAGAGAAAAAGTACAGTTACATTTTTTTGGTTTCAAATAATTTTGCAGCTTCAATTTGCACAAGCAAAGACAAAGCAAATAGCATAACTGTTGACAATTATGGCTGTAGAAATTATGTATAAAAATATGAGACAAGCTCTGTGTGAAGACATGAATACAAGTACATTTGGAGTCAATTAAGGTGACACTAAACTCAGGAGTTAAATATTAAAAATCCATTCAAGTACCTTAGCTATTAACAAAATGTATCTTATATTTGTGTGTGACTCAGCTGCAGATCCTCAAATCATATCTGAATTGGTGCTGACACTGTACTTCCTTCTGTAGGGTGACTACTTATTTTCCCCATGGTCCCTGTGTGTGTTGTAAAGTAGTCACTGCTCCAAGATTGTTCCCGCGATGGACTACAATCTCACGTTTAGTTTACTAATTTTTATGGAGATTGTAGCCTATCATGGGAGCGAGCTTGGAGCAGTGACTACTTTACAGCACACAGGGACCATGGGAAACAAAAGCAGCCACCCTCCAGAAGGAAGGACACTGTCAGCATGAATTCACAGATGATTTGAGGATCTACAGCCGAGAGATACACAAATAAGATAAATTTTTGTTAAAAGTTAAGGTACTTGAATGCATTTTTAAAATGTATCTGCTGAGTTTAGTGAGTACATAGCAAAAGAATAATTCAAGGCCCAAATACCAATGTTCAGCTACCTAATCTGAGTGCCATTTAGAACACCATTTATGGTCCTTTCAACCCAAACTATCAATACAAATACTATACTCAAAAATGCGTTAGTACTATTATTACTGAGAGATCTTTAATACAGCCATTCACACTAGCTGTAGAAGATATGAACAATGAGCACACACACAAACAGCAATAAAAAAAACAAAGCTGGCCACAAGCCAATGACATCACCCTTTGAAAAGTGTTATTGTTTCAAGATCACTTCCAGCTACTGCCTACTAGGCAGTAATGGTAATATTACCAGAAATGCACTGAATAGTGGATGTAAATTTATGGTGAATGTAGAATCAACCAGTGGTTGTATCGTTTGATGCTAAATGATCTTGTATGGCCTAATAATTTAAAGGTCTTTTTTATTGCAATGCACATG